CCCATACCTCACACCCACACCTTTCTGACTCTCCAACATTTGTGAGGAGTGTGTCACTTGTATGCTTTGGCATTTTTCACAGGAAAGTCAGAAAAAGCTAAAATTTTGGATTTGAAGTATTCACATGATGGTCTATCGTTTTAGATACCTAAAACGAAAATCAAAATTTTGTCGGCGACCAACTCGTTTGGTGGTCTTATGGACCCTCTCTTACAATAGAGTTGAATCAACAACAATTTGAGAATCTGATGATCCACTAATACCAATTCGTCGATATTTTTCACGACAAACGTATGAACAATCACGGCATTGAAGTGCTCCTATTCCTTCTATTCATAGGAAATTTATTCTGTTATTTTTTTTTAGAATAAAAGATAATACGATTACGAATCATTTGGTGATTTTGCTGAATTAAGTAATTCATCACAAGCATCAAAAATTTGTGGTGTTGTAAATTGTTTGAATTCATATGCATGAGAACCATACATTGATGATGTACGTGATGATGATAATGATCGTTGAGGCTGAAGATAATTTTGATGAGAATTCATTTGTTTATATGCTTTATCTTGCATTGATAGACGCTATAAAATTAATTTTTTAAGCTATATTAAAGGTTCTTCTAATAGAATTCAAATATCTATATGTTAGTAAGTAGGGTAAGATTATAGAGATTACTTGTAAAACAAAATTTTGCGCTTTTTTTCTATTAAAAATATAACTGATTCTCTGCATTTTAACATCTAGCTGGAGTCCCACGTACGGTCTTTCTTCAACTAAAATTTCAGTTTATTTGCTGGAATATTGATGTGCACTATGAGTCAGAAGGGAATGTTCCTAAGTGTTACATCGCCTTTAAGGTGTGGCTATATTCAATCGATGAGACTTAGCAAGTAGGTAAATATTCTGGAGTGGTTCGTATTGTAGGGCTTTTTTATGCTGGGGTATCGAATTTTTATCAAGTATTTCCAAGTTTCAAGCCAAAATTCGTTAAAAATTTGACATCTGAGCAACAAAGACCTAGCAGTGTGAAAACACTCCAGAGTATTTACTTACTCATTAAGTCCTATCGGTTGAACATAGTCACAGCTTAAAAACGGCATGATACTTGAGAACGCATTCTCGTCAGTTATTGTCCTCCAAAAAGCTGTAGATGGTTTCTCTTCACAGCAATGAATACAGTCTTTAAAAGGATTGATGAACTTCAATGAAATTAACATAGCACACCCACACCAATGATGCCACAATGCCAATGATCTACATTCTTAGTGACCTATGTGTACATAAATTTTCAGATCTCCAGCATATATCGTGGTCGAGAGCAGTTGGGACCGAGATTTTGTCCAGTGCTGTATATATGTGAAATTCTTTGTATCATGTTTTTCCATAGCATGTAATTCGTTTCCTTTTCTGTTTTGATGTTGAAACATGGTAACTGCAGTTATAAAAAAAACTTTATAAAATTGAAAAGCTAAATCAACGAAAAACAAGTCATCAGTTTACTTTTTTCAAGTGTGTTTTTCTGTATAATTTAAAAAACATCTGATTTTAAGACATATTGTTTGTTTTCAAAAACTATTAAGACAAAAGGAGAAACACAAATGTTTGCATTCATGTTAAATCATCCCAAACTCTACATGACACTAGAAAAAAATTGCGATTCCAAAGCCTAAAATAAATCATTTCTCTGACACATATACCTGAACTTTTTCTTGTTCAGGTTTTTCAATTTAAATCCTAATAAATTTTCCATGATTCTGTATTTATATATTGTAATATATTAGACATTTCCTAGAACGAAAAAGAAAATATATTTCAAACACTTAGTCATTAAATAAAAAATTTCTCTTAAAGAAACGATATCATTAAAAAAATCTGGTAAAGAAATACTAATATCATCATAAATAGCTGATATACATTTTGTACGTTGTTTGAATTCTGCACCATTTAAATGTTCTTCATGTTCAGCTAGAGCTATATCAAGATTATATGAACAATCACTTAAATAAAAATCCCACATATCAAATGCAAATTTTTTATATAATGCACGAAGAACACAAATATCATTTGATGATGAATAAAGAAAATTATAAAATCCAGCTGATTCTCGATTCACTTTTGTTATATAATCTCAAACATTTATTATATTACAACGACATAAACCTTAAAAGAAAAGAAGTTTGTTTTCTTTTAAGAAATGATAAATGAAATAAATTTACCAGTAATATCACTCGTTAATGAATCACGAGTTGTATCAACATACCAATTACGATCCTTTTTACGTTCACAATCACAATCAAGTATAAAATTTTTAAAATGATTTGATAAATGATGATAAGCAAGAAAACGAAGATAATATTGTTTCAATTCAAATTCACTTAGATATTGATTTCACATCTTAAAAAGATTTTATTTGAATTATTTGACATCTTATGATTAATATCTTGATCAACAAGAGCAAGAAATTGAAGAAAAACTGGTGTAAAACCACTTTTATTTGTTGCTGTTTGATTTGATCGATGTGGAAAATGATGTCCAAATGCAAATCATTCACGTTTAATTAATGTTTGAACTCCTTCCAATGTTCAATAATATGGATCAAGTAATAATTCACTTATTGAAACAAATTGAGCAGTTGTATCCCAACCATCTTCAACACAAATCATTACTGATGATGCATGATCTTCAATAAATTGAACGAGAGCGTGGATATGGCTTTGACTGTAGGTATTGTGCATAGATATAGTCACATTCACACTCACACCTCAGTCTTTACAGCAGAGATACATAAAGATAAATCTCTTTTTTTTCTAGCGTAACGATACATAGATCGTTAGTTTTTAAAGTATGGAGGATCTTCGAACTTTTTAACTTCAATGTGAGAGAAAACGAACTGAGTTTAAGAGTATAGGTATATGGTGAATTAGTGTCCGATTTTCAAGCACATTTCGCACTTAGTTTTTAATCTCTCATTTCGGATATTGAAGTTTTTTCTACTAGAATACGTCGTTTTGTAATAAAAATAATTTTCTATTAAATTTGTAATTGTCATTTGGTTCACATCTTAAGCGACTCAGATGTAAAACTGAAATACGATTGATAATATTCTTTTGTTATAAAAAGCAGATAGCAATATTATATTGAACTACAATTTGGAAGTCCAATAATGTAAAGTAACTTAGAGGTTTTGTTCTTCTTTCAGTTTCTTACAAATATGCACTGTTGATCGAAGACTTGTTGTTTAAGTCATTGATGAATATTGCTAATAAAGAAAAACATTAGCAGTCATGCTTAATTTTATGATGAAAATCGATAGTGAAGTTCGTCATTGACATAAAACTAATATTTTCCATCATCACAACGAGATATAAATAATGGCTTGAAAGTGTACATCCTCATTGAGATTTTCAAGATAAATAATTCGGACCATGATGATAAAAATGAAGAACTTTGACCAATGAGGTATCAAAGTGAGTATGATATTGAAATGAAAACTATCATTAAATTCATGTAGAAGAAGGTATACATTAGTAGAAAGAACATGTGAGCGACGAGAAGACTAACATCTATACCCACAGCTATACCCTTAATAAAATTTTCATTATAACCACGGAAATTTAGTGTAGCATACTCTTAGTTTCAAGTTTTATATTCAATTTGAAATGTCTTGAAAGATTGGTTGTTCTTCAAAAGATCACGTTGCAAATGAATCAAGTATTTTTTGGACATGCTCTTCTCATAATATTAAGAATGTTTCGCAGTTCAAGTTCAATAAACACTAATGAAACAGTTTTTTATATCTTTTCTTTTTTTCATTGAAGAAAAAAAATGAATATGTCGGATCTTCTAAAATACGAATTGAATTTGAAAACTAGCAATTGTATTTAAAATTATCACTTTTTCTTATCAACTGATAAAAAGGTTGTCTAATGTTTATAATCATGTAAGTCTCATCTATCTAGGAATGCAATAAAATGAGAAGCCATTTTTTAAATTATCGTAGTCTACTAGTTGTCCGTAAATAGATTTTCTTATAGGTTCTTATTAATATTCATCTTTATTACTTATTGTTCGTTATTGAACGATGTCAACTACTGCATATTGTATAGAAAATAAATATAGACGCATATACTTCCTATGAACTGAAATTCTTTGTGCAAACATGGTTTTTTTTCTTGTTTACAATCAATCGTTTTGTGCTGTTAACCTTGAATGTTTTACTGTTGCTATGTGCAATCCTTTCCAAAAGAGTGTGTGGATGAAAAGAATTCAAAAGGGAAAAAGAAAAAAAAAACAAGAAGCAAAAAGAGACCAAGATGTTGCCATGATGCATAAATACGAAAAAAATCATTTCACAAACAACGCACTCGTGTGATTTGCATAATATTCGATCAAGTTGGAAGAAACTGACAGTGAAATTGAGTCGGTATAGTTGTTTTTCATTATTTGGTTTTGATGAGCACCTTAATAGGAGAATTTCTAAGAGTAGAGAAAATATTTTAAAGTCATAAGAAAGTAACAGAGCATGCCAAAAGTAATGAGATTTAGGAGAAAAGAAAACACAGAAACAAGTTAATTCAACAGTTTATTTCATCAAATGATCGAAGTAATTCCTCTAGTTACTTACACAGAATTGCATTCGTTCAGTCACCACTTCTTTTGAGAAACAGTCTATGATTTCAGTTTTACGAAAACATAACATGTAAAACTCAAATAGATTACAGAGTTTCTATTAATAACAATTCGTATTTTAGCCCATCATGTTCCATTTCGCAACTTACAGCACATAACATTAAACAACATCCATACTATGGTTCGACTGACTTTTTGCAATAATCAAATGATTTCTTTACCATTGATAAGTTTGATCTATTTTTATTTTAAGTAATTATTTAACAAAGCTGAAAGGCGTCTCAATTCGTAAAAGGATACTATTGCTGAGAGAAAGATAAGCTCCGCTATCCATTCGATAGAATTTCGACGTATTGAGTTTAGCTTTGCTCGGACATCGAATGTCTGTATCGAGCCCTCGGACGTCCACTTCCGATAGATCAAGGGTTTGGCGAAAGGTCAGTTAACGCGTAATTTTCGACCACTCTAGCGATCGTTACTAAGGGAATCGATCAAAATAAAAAGATATTACTATAGATTCTTCTAATAAGGAATCATTACGAGGACGTAAGTGTATGACTGTGGCTGTAGCTACCTTTCATATTCACACCGACACAGACACACATTGAGGTGGTTGCTTTCTTTCGCTCGCAATCAGCACCGGATTGAAAACTATCCTTACCAGAATCAGTACCCATTTTTTTTGTAACGATATGAATAAGAACAATAAAATTGAACGCTATAGACAAATGATATCAACTATACGTGAGTGTATAATGGACCTATAAAAGTGTCATAAATACTTAACGACGAAATAAAAAAATCAACATGAAACACTTCAACATCTAGTGAATAATCAGTTATTTTTATGAGCAGCTGTCAGTTCTTGAAATAGAGTCAGTTATAGCTAGTGCTAGCCTCTGTATGATTATAATCACTTTGTATCATAAATATCTTTTATTGTTTACGAAAAATGCGACATAGGAAAAATACCAAAACTTGAAAAACTAAAGTTTTCCCTATGAGTTTCAAGCCGAAATAATATAAATATAAAATTTTTTCAGTCGGGAAAAAACGTTGGCACGTCTCTACGTAGAAGAAAAGGTTTTCTCTACTTTCAGATGTTATATAAAGTCAATATTCAGAAATTTTTTCAAAGATTCAAAACGTGAAAATTCATTAAGACTATGCTATGTTTCGGAATGCTGACGAAGAAGCTATTAGAATTTTATAAGAGTTGTTTAAAAATAGTTCAGAAAAATAAGCTCGAAATTTCGCATTGAAGAATCTTTAGTATAAACTGAAATTAACTTCTAATGGCTAGCTAACTCTTCATGAGCGTAATAAATTCATTCAGCATGACTTGACGCTGTCGTCTGACTAGGAGAAAGTGTCACTTCGAGGCTACCAAGCTCATATCTTTTCATTATTAAAGTCAGGGAATCAGTAAAAATGGGAACGATATGCACCTTTAGTGTCCTGAAAAATCAATGGACAAAATCATTGGAAATCGGCTGATTTTAAAAGTTCAACTGAATCGATAACCGGCAAACGGATCAGTACGATCTCAAGTATGCTCGCTCGTTAGCAACATAGTTATTTATAAAGCTACTTACGTTATTTTGACTCGATTTTTTTGATAGAATGCTCTGGAAAAGCTTAGAATAGGTTCAAAATTTCCGATAAAATGGTCGCTTTTTTTCTAGAAATATTAAAAATTGAGATAAGTCGATGTTCCTGACCTTTTCGTATCATATGATCGCTTTTCTACATTGAAGATTTTGAGGAAACAGCGCCCTCTTTGCAGGATTTAATTGAATATCCTGATCATCATGAGATCAGTTCGTGAACAAACTATTAGGCTCAAGTTAGGCCGTTTTCTTTTTAATCAAATGCCTTGCTGCAGGTCGAAACCACAGTAAAATGGTGATGACTTCAGAAATAAGACTTTTTAGTGGCAATCCTTTTGCGTTTTTTCTAGTTCAACTAGGTCTTTCTCAAAATTTATGGCGTAGTAGCATATTTCTGAGACTGTATAGAAAAAAATCGAGACCCGAACATCAGCTAACATCGGTATCGAAGAAAAGCTTATATCGCTGGTTGTATGGACTGATCGACAGAAAAAGAGCCAATTCACACTGAAGTTCCGCTGACTGATAGTAAAAGCTTGAAACTACACAGAAGTCCACAACGATTAGTGTGAAATGTTTAGATTGTCAAACTGTGCGCCAAAGTGCATGTCAAAAGACTCAAATGGCGCTGGTACAAGACAGTATGGATTAGAGGTTCGAATGGGAAACTTGAAAATGCGTAATCGTTGTAAATAATCAGTGTAAAAATATTCGAATCCAAGCTGAAGTATGCACGAATGTGGAAAGACCGCTTCAAGTACTAATACTACTGTTTACATTCCAATTGTACTCGTAAGTGATATCGAGCTGTTGCGTATGTTTGACTTGTTTCAGTTTTCTTTTTCTAATTGAACACACTTCAGAAAAATGAAGAAAAATATGCCACATTGTGTTGATCATACAGAAGAAGATAGTTTGTATTATGTGTAATGTTGATTTTACCGTTTTTTAAAAATGGCTGTAATAATTGTCTTTCATTTGAGGTCGATGTAGAAGATAGACTCGTACGAAAGGCCCACATAGGCTATTGAGTTTGACAATTACATTTTTTAGGATGAACTTTGTTTTTTGAATTAGGGAATGTGATTATAAATACATGCAGTGAAATATATTGAATGCTGTAACGTCAAAAAAATTCTTATCATTTTAATGGGGCATATTTGAGAAGACTGTAATATTAAAATTAGTGTGTTTATGGTTCAGATTTCTATTCAATTATTCATCCATTTGTCTAAGTCAGTGTTTGTTGGCTAAAACTCTTACCACTTTTATTTCAGATACTTAACCAATTCTTAAAAAGCCTATTCAAATTCTTCTTCATCAAATATAGACTTTTAGCTATTTTTTACAGACACATAGCGTAATAAATTAATAAATATTTTCACTAATTATCTTATTTCCATACACGTGATTTTCTTTATTCT